AGTTACAATTTTTTTCAATTATTTTTCCGATTGTTCCTATGGGAGCTATATGCTATAGTCGTCCGATTTTGATGAAATTTTAACCATAATTCTGAAATATTTAACCATTGCTTTATGTCGAAGAACAAAACAAAAAATTAAAAAACAGCAAAGTTATAATTTTTTTTCAATTATTTTTCCGATTGTTCCTATGGGAGCTATATGCTATAGTCGTCCGATTTTGATGAAATTTAAACCATAATTCTGAAATATTTAACCATTGCTATATGTCGAAGAACTAAACAAAAAATTAAAAAACAGCAAAGTTATAATTTTTTTTCATTTATTTTTCCGATTGTTCCTATGGGAGCTATATGCTATAGTCGTCCGATCCGGCTCATTCCGACTTATATACTACCTGCAATAGAAAGACAACTTTTGGGAAAGTTTCATGCAGATAGCTTTAAAACTGAGGGACTAGTTCGCATATAAACGGACGGACAGACGGACAGACGGACATGGCTAGATCGACTCTACTAGTGATGCTGATCAAGAATATATATACTTTATAGGGTCGGAAACGTCTCCTTCACTGCGTTGCAAACTTCTGACTGAAATTATAATACCCTCTGCAAGGGTATAAAAACAATCTAGCCATGTCCGTCTGTCCGTCTGTCCGTCTGTCCGTCCGTCTGTCCGTCCGTCTGTCCGTCTGTCCGTCCGTTTCTACGCAAACTAGTCTCTCAGTTTTAAAGCTATCTGCATGAAACTTTTCCAAAAGTTGTCTTTCTATTGCAGGTAGTATATAAGTCGGAACGAGCCGGATCGGACGACTATAGCATATAGCTCCCATAGGAACAATCGGAAAAATAAATGAAAAAAAATTATAACTTTGCTGTTTTTTAATTTTTTGTTCAGTTCTTCGACATTTAGTAATGGTTAAATATTTCCGATTTACGGTTTAAATTTCATCAAAATCGGACGACTATAGCATATAGCTCCCATAGGAACAATCGGAAAAATAAATGAAAAAAAATTATAACTTTGCTGTTTTTTAATTTTTTGTTCAGTTCTTCGACATTTAGTAATGGTTAAATATTTCCGATTTACGTTTTAAATTTCATCAAAGTCGGACGACTATAGCATATAGCTCCCTTAGGAACAATCGGAAGAATAAATGAAAAAAAATTATAACTTTTCTGTTTTTTAAATTTTTTTCAGTTCTTCGACATATAGCAATGGTTAAATATTTCAGAATTATGGTTTAGATTTTATCAAAATCGGACGTCTATATCATATAGCTCCCATAGAAATAATAAAAATATATAAAATATCTATTGAATAATTGAGCTGCTAATCATCATAGCTTCACTGTTTTTAAACATATACGCAAGTAAATCATAATTTTAATGTTTTCAAAATTTTAAATTCTTGCAACAGCTGCAAGGGTATATGAACTTCGGCTTGCCGAAGTTTGCTTCCTTTCTTGTTTTATAAATGTAATTTTATTTTGCTGGTTTTTTAAAAATTCTGAGTTTTTAATAATTTGACAGTTCAGAATTACGCTTTTCATTTTATTAAAATCGGAAAACGACATCATATAGCTGCCATAGGAACTAACGAATAATTGAGCTGCAAATCATCATAGCTTCACAGTTTTTAAACATATACGCAAGTAAATGATAGTTTTTAATGATTTCAAGAATATTTAATATTTGCAATAGCTGCAATGGTATATTTGCTCTCTTTCTTGTTTTTATATAATTTCAAATGGTATTTTAATTTCAGTCAGAAGATCACTTTTCCGACCCTAATAGCACCATATAAAATATCTGATATCAATTTTTGTGACGAAAAATGAATATGCATTCGACCAAATAAATACACTTTTTAAATGTTCCCATTCGTAACGCTAAACTACAAAATGTATGTGTAGGCAAAATACCTGTATAAAGCGGTTCGAATGGAAAACTCTGGTAATGGAAACAGTATGAGCACCGGTAAGCGTGCTCAAGGAGACTACTATATAGCCGAAATTTTCGAAGTCAACTCAGAATAGTCCGATCTTAAAAAATGATATAGTAATGCTAAGAGTTTAAGAAAGACATTTGGTTTCGGAGAAATGGAGGTGAAAGTGCAAACAAAATGTTGTCTTTTACTAGAGCTTTTGGGGCCGGTGGAGCAAAAAGTCTTACATTTATAGCATGGATGTATTCTCGCTTTAAAAATGCGTCCGTTTTTGGTTTGTATGTGCGAAATAATGCGATGTTTGAGGGTTTTGAAACCATTTTTACTTACTTATTTACAATCTTGACATAATTTCTTCAAGTATAATATTTACGGAATTATAACCAAAATAAGGTTTTTGTGTTCACAGTTTAGTAATTGTTTTGAAAATGCCAGTAAAGATTTCCTTTTATTTTCGAGTTCTTATAGCTTTTTAGATTACGAAACTTTCGACATATCACACAAACACCTCCTAACGAGGTGACGAAAAATGGATCGGCATTCGACTATATAAATACACTTTTTGAATGTTCCCATTCGGACCGCTATATCCAGGAATTTTCCAAGTGTATAAAAACAGCGATGTTATATTTATACCCTAGCAGAGGGTATTATAGTTTCCGTCAGAAGTTGGCAACGCAGGGAAGGAGACATCTTCGACCCTATAAAGTGCATATATTCTTGATCAGCATCATTAGGAGAGTCGATCTAGCCATGTCCGTCTGTCTGTCCGTCTGTCCGTCCGTTCCTGCGCAAACTAGTCTCCCAGATTTAAAGCTATCAGCATGAAACTTTCCCAAAAGTTGTCGTCCGAATTTGATAAAATTTAAACCGTAATTCTATTTAACCATCAAAGCTGCAAGGGTATATGAACTTCGGCTTGCCGAAGTTTGCTTCCTTTCTTGTTTTTATTATTTTTCCGATTGTTCCTATGGGAACTATATGCTATAGTCGTCTGATCCGGCTCATTCCGACTTATATACTACCTGCAATAGAAAGACAACTTTTGGGAAAGTTTCATGCGTATAGCTAAAAACTGAGGGACTAGTTTGCGTAGAAACGGACGGACAGACGGACATGGCTAAATTGATTTTCCTAGTGATGCTGATCAAGAATATATATACTTTATAGGGTCGGAGATGTCTCCTTCACTGCGTTGCAAACTTCTGACCCTCTGCAAGGGTATAAAAAATTATAACTTATTTTAATTTTTTATACCCTTGCAGAGGGTATTATAATTTAAGTCAGAAGTTTGCAACGCAGTGAAGGAGATATCTCCGACCCTATAAAGTATATATATTCTTGATCAGCATCACTAGCCGAGTCGATCTAGCCATGTCCGTCTGTCCGTCTGTCAGTCTGTCCGTCCGTTTCTACGCAAACTAGTCTCTCAGTTTTAAAACTATCTACATGAAACTTTCCCAAAAGTTGTCTTTCTATTGCAGGTAGTATATACGTCGGATCGGACGACTATAGCATATAGCTCCCATAGGGACAATCGGAAAAATAAATTTAAAAAATATATATTTTTGGTGTTTTTTAATTTTTTTTTTAGATTTTCGAGATATAGTAATAGTTAAATATTTCAGAACTACGATTAAAATTTCATCAAAATCGGACGACTAAAGCATATAGCTCCCATAGAAACAATCATAAAAAAATAAAAAAAATTTTAATTTTGGTGTTTTTAATATTTTTTTTAGTTCTTCGAGATATAGTAATGGTTATATATTTTAGAATTACGGTTTAAATTTCATCAAAATCGACGACTATAACATAAAGCTCCCATGAAAACAATAAATATATTAAAAAATACAACTTTTAAAAATTTAAACTTTTTATACCCTTGCAGAGGGTATTATAATTTCAGTCAGAAGTTTGCAACGCAGTGAAGGAGACATCTCCGACCCTATAAAGTATATATATTCTTGATCAACATCACTGGTAGAGTCGATCTAGCCATGTCCGTCTGTCCGTCCGTCTGTCTGTCTGTCAGTCTGTCCGTCCGCTTATATGCAAACTAGTCTCTCAGTTTTAAAGCTATCTGCATGAAACTTTCCCAAAAGTTGTCTTTCTATTGCAGGTAGTATATAAGTCAGAACGAGCCGGATCGTAAGACTATAGCATATAGCTCCCATAGGAACAATCGGAAAAATAAATGAAAACAATTATAACTTTGCTGTTTTTTAATTTTTTGTTTAGTTCTTCGACGTTTAGTAATGGTTAAATATTTCCGATTTACGGTTTAAATTATATCAAAATCGGACGACTATAGCATATAGCTTCCATAGGAACAATCGGAAAAATAAATGAAAAAAATTATAACTTTGCTGTTTTTTAATTTTTTGTTTAGTCCTTCGACATTTAGTAATGGTTAAATATTTTCGATTTACGGTTTAAATAATATCAAAATCGGACGACTATAGCATATAACTCCCATAGGAACAATCGGAAAAATAAATGAAAAAAATTATAACTTTTCTGTTTTTTAATTTTTTGTTCAGTTCTTCGACATATAGCAATGGTTAAATATTTCAGAATTATGGTTCAGATTTTATCAAAATCGGACGTCTGTATCATATAGCTCCCATAGAAATAATAAAAATATATAAAATAACTATCAAATAATTGAGCTGCTAATCATCATAGCTTCAATGTTTTTAAACATATACGCAGTAAATCATAATTTTAATGTTTTCAAAAATGTTAAATTCATGCAATAGCTGCAAGGGTATATGAACTTCGGCTTGCCGAAGTTTGCTTTCGAATAAATAAATAAATGTTATGCACGCATTTTGTATTCTGCGAATGCCTAGACATAGAGCCAAACATGTGTAACAAACATAATTAAGTTGGCAGCAATATTCCCATGTATTCTCTAATTGGAATCCGCTATACACCATATCTCTTTGTATAAGATGTCTTATCATTATATTGTATAATCTTTCATAATAGATACACATTAGAGCAACAATACCTGTCAATCATATTTTTTTAATATTGTTTCTTTATAGATATTGTGTTGAATATAAACTAAAGCTTCGAAATAAATAAAAAGTTTTATTTTATAAGGAAATGGAAAGAGTCTAGACAAGAAAATCGACCCTTTCCGATGTGGACCAGCACCGCAAAATTAAACAAACGTTTTTAACTTGTCGGATTGAATTTTATGTGTAGGGTTGTGAAAGACTTTCGCATACAAGCTCGACTATAACACGCTTTGGAAATGGAGCATCTGGATCTTGCGGGCTATCTTGGCAGCACAACCCAAAGTTGGAATTGTCTGGGCGCATTTGATCAGCAAGGTATGTGCTACGTTTCGAAAAGTAGGACTCAAAGAAAAGAAGATCACGATGGCTAAAGCAAGAAAGAAAGAAAGGAAGCTAAATAAGGCAACTTGAAGTTTTTAATATATCCTTGCAGCTATTACAAAAGCTAAATATTCTATACAACGACTATAGTTCGATTTGCATACCTATACTAGCTTATTTTGAGTCATTATAATTATTTTGTCCATATCGAAAAAATGCGTACATTGCAGTGTTTCTGTTCAATTCACTAGGAACAATCGGAAAACAATGAACAAAAATTATAACTTAGCTGTTTTTAAATTTTTTCTTAATTCTTCGACATATAGTATTGGTTAATTATTTCAGAATTACGCTTTAAATTTCATCAAAATCGGACGACTATCACATAGCTCCCATAGAAATAATAAAAATATATTAAATAACTATCTAATATTTGAGCTGCAAATCATCATAGCTTCAATGTTTTTCAACATATTCGCAATTAAATCATAATTTTAATGTTTTCAAAAGTATTTAATTCTTGCAATAGCTGCAAGGGTATATGAACTTCGGCTTGCCGAAGTTTGCTGTCTTTCTTGTTTTTTTATTATTTCTATGGGCGCTATATGATATAGTCGACAGATTTTGATGAAATTTAAACCGTAACTCTAAAATATTTAACTACTATATGTCGAAAAATTAAAAAAAAATTAAAAAGCAGCAAAATTATAATTTTTTTTAAATTTCCTATGGGAGCTATATGCTATAGTCGTCCGATTTTGATGAAATTTAAAGCGTAATTCTGAAATATTTAACCCTTTCTATTTGTCGAAGAACTAATAGAAAAATTAAAAAACAGCAAAGTTATAATTTTTTTTGTATTTTTTTCCGACTGTTCCTATGGGAGCTATGATATAGCCGTCCGATTTTTATGAAATTTAAACCGTAATTGTGAAATATTTAACCATTACTATATGTCGAAGAACTAAAAAAAAGCAAAGTTGTAATTTTTTTTATACCCTTGCAGAGGGTATTATAATTTCAGTCAGAAGTTTGCAGCGCAGTGAAGAAGACATCTCCGACCCTATGAAGTATATATAGTCTTGATCAGCATCACTAGCCGAGTCGATCTAGCCATGTCCGTCTGTCCGTCTGTCCGTCCGTCTGTCCGTGTGTCAGTCTGTCCGTCCGTTTCTACGCAAACTAGTCTCTCAGTTTTAAAGCTATCTGCATGAAACTTTCCCAAAAGTTGTCTTCCTATTGCAGGTAGTAGGATCGGACGACTATATAATATAGCTGCCATAGGAAAATATAACTTTGCTGTTTTTTAATATTTTTTATTAGTTCTTGGACATATAGTAATGGTTAAATACTTCAGAATCATCAAAATCGGACGACTATATAATATAGCTCCCATAGGAACAATCGAAAAAATAAACAAAAAATTATAACTTTGTCGTTTATTTAATTTTTTTGTAGTTCTTGGAGATATAGTAATGGTTAAGTATTTCAGAATTACGTTTAAATTTCATCAAAATCGGACGACTATAGCATATAGCTCCCATAGGAACAATCGTATAGCTGCCATAGGAACTATCGAATAATTAAGCTGCAAATCATCATAGCTTCAATGTTTTTAAACATACACACATGTAAATCATAATTTAAACGTTTTCAAGAGTATTTAGTTTTTGAAATAGATGCAAGGGTATATAAACTTCGGCTGGCCGAAGTTTGCTTGCTTTCTTGTTTTTTATTTATTTTTATGATTGTTCCTATGGGAGCTATATGCTATAGTCGTCAGATTTTGATGAAATTTAAACCGTATTTCTAGAATATATAACCATTACTATATCTCGAAGATCTAAAAAAAAAATTTAAAAACACCAAAAATATATATTTTTTAAATTTATTTTTCCGATTGTCCCCATGGGAGCTTTATGCTATAGTCGTCCGATCCGGCTCGATCCGACTTATATACTACCTGCAATAGAAAGACAACTTTTAGGAGAGTTTCATGCAGATAGCTTTAAAATTGAGAGACTAGTTTGCGTAGAAACGGACGGACAGACGGACATGGCTAGATCGAATCAACTAGAGATGCTGATCAAGAATAAATATACTTTATAGGGTCGGAGATGTCTCCTTCACTGCGTTGCAAACTTCTAACTGAAATTATAATACCCTTTGTTGTTTTTTAATATTTTTGTTAGTTCTTCGAGATATAGTAATGGTTAAGCATATAGCTCCCATAGGAACAATCATAAAAACAAGAAAGAAAGCAAACTTCGGCAAGCCGAAGTTCATATACCCTTGCAGCTATTGCAAGAATTTAACATTTTTGAAAACATTAAAATTATGATTTACTGTGTATATGTTTAAAAATATTGAAGCTATGATGATTAGTAGCTCAATTATTAGATAGTTATTTGATATATTTTTATTATTTCTATGGGAGCTATATGATAAAGACGTCCGATTTTGATAAAATCTGAACCATAATTCTGAAATATTTAACTATTACTAAATGTCGAAGGACTAAACAAAAAATTAAAAAACAGAAAAGTTATAATTTTTTTCATTTATTTTTCCGATTGTTCCTATGGGAGCTATATGCTATAGTCGTCCGATTTTGGTGAAGTTTAAACCGTAATTCTGAAATATTTAACCATTACTATATATCGAAGAACTAAACAAAAAATTAAAAAACAGCAAAGTTATAATTTTTTTTCATTTATTTTTCCGATTGTTCCTATGGGAGCTATATGCTATAGTCGTCCGATCCGGCTCGTTCCGACTTATATACTACCTGCAATAGAAAGACAACTTTTGGAAAAGTTTCATGCAGATAGCTTTAAAACTGTGAGACTAGTTTGCGTAGAAACGGACGGACAGACGGACATGGCTAGATCGACTCGCCTTGTGATGCTGATCAAGAATATATATACTTTATAGGGTCGGAGATGTCTCCTTTACTGCGTTGCAAACTTCTGACTGAAATTATAATACCCTCTGCAAGGGTATATAAATAAAAAAAATTATAAATTTGGTGTTTTTTAATTTTTTTTTTTAGTTCTTCGAGATATAGTAATGGTTAAATATTTCAGAATTACGGTTTAAATTTCATCAAAATCGGACGAATATAGCATATAGCTCCCATAGGAACAATAATAAAAAAAATAAAAAAAAATTATAACTTTGCTGTTTTTTAATTTTGTTTTTAGTTCTTCGAGATATAGTAATTAATGGTTATATATTTTAGAATTACGGTTTAAATTTCATCAAAATCGGACGACTATAACATAAAGCTCCCATGAAAACAATAAATATATTAAAAAATAAAAATTTAAACTTTTTAAATATGTAATTTTTTTCAGAAATTCTTTTTGATTATTTTATTATTTGACAGTTGTGAATTATTCTTTTATTTATTAAAATTGGAATTTTATTATTAAAATCGGAAAACGATATCATATAGCTGCCAAAGGAACTATCGAATAATTATGCTGCAAATCATCATAGCTTCAATGTTTTTAAACATATACGCAAGTAAATCATAATTTTAATGTTTTCAAGAATATTTCGTTTTTGCAATAGCTGCAAGGGTATATGAACTTCGGCTCGCCGAAGTTTGCTTCCTTTCCTGTCCTAATACCTATTCCCATTTATTTTGTGAAACTAAAACGAAATGCTTCCGTAAATGCGACTATAATAAGCCCCACTACTTGATTACCGAATACAACAGGACAATTGCACAATTGCATGTGTATGGAAAGTGCCACTGAATTATTCTATAGCGTTTTAAATACGTTTTTTAATGAATGCGTTCCTGACAGTCTTCCTCCAAGACATAACAGAACTCCGTGGTTTACACAAGAGCTTCAAAGCCTTAAAAACCTAAAAATAAACACTTACAAAAAGTACAAAAGGTCGAGCAAGCCATCTGATTTTTATACCCTTGTAGAGAGTATTATAATTTCAGTCAGAAGTTTGCAACGCAGTGAAGGAGACATCTCCGACCCTATAAAGTATAAATATTCTTGATCAGCATCACTAGCCGAGTCGATCTAGCCATGTCCGTCTGTCCGTCCTTCTGTCCGTCTGTCCGTCCTTCTGTCCGTCTGTCCGTCCGTCTGTCCGTCTGTCCGTCCGTCTGTCCGTCTGTCCGTCCGTTTCTACGCAAACTAGTCTCTCAGTTTTGAAGCTATCTGCATGAAACTTTCCCAAAAGTTGTCTTTCTATTGCAGGTAGTATATAAGTCGGATCGAGCTGGATCGGACGACTATAGCATATAGCTCCCATAGGGACAATCGGAAAAATACATTTAAAAAAATATATTTTTGGTGTTTTTTAATTTTTTTTTTAGATTTTTGAGATATAGTAAAAGTTAAATATTTCAGAATTACGGTTAAAATTTTATCAAAATCGGACGACTATAGCATATAGCTTCTATAGGAACAATCAAAAAAAAAATAAAAAAATATTGTAACTTTGGTGTTTTTTAATTTTTTTTTTAGTTCTTCGAGATATAGTAATGGTTTAATATTTCAGAATTACGTTTTAAATTTCATCAAAATCGGACGACTATATCATAAAGCTCCCATTGAAATAATAAAAATATATAATATAACTATCTAATAATTGAGTTGCAAATCATCATAGCTTCAATGTTTTCAGACATATACGCAAGTAAATCATTATTTTAATGTTTTAAAAAATATTTGATTTTTTGCAATAGCTGCAAGGGTATATGAACTTCGGCTTGCCGAAGTTTGCTTACTTTCTTGTTAAATTTTTATTTAGTTCTTCGAGATATAGTAATGGTTAAATATTTCAGAATTACGGTTTAAATTTCATCAAAATCGGACGACTATAGCATATAGCTCCCATAGGAACAATCGTATAGCTGCCATAGGAACTATCGAATATTTAAGCTGCAAATCATTATAGTTTCAATGTTTTTAAACATACACGCAAGTAAATCATAATTTTAACGTTTTCAAGAGTATTAAGTT